AAATTAATTAACTAGATCCGTCAAACATATTAATAATTTTCTTCTGAGTTCTGCAAAGTCATATATTATGACAAGTACATGAAGATTATTACACATGTGGAGAGACTAGAGTGGACATACGTATAGCTTGTCCAAGGCACGCGGCATCATCCATAAATAATGCATGCGCTATTCCGTGTCCTGGGCTGTAATTTGATTGTGGAGGCGTCAGGTTAAAAGTTTGGCGTAGAGTCCCCACACTCTCTTACTCTTGTTCTGCACATTCGTGCGCGACTCGTGGATGAAAGAACTAACAGCAGCAGAAGATTCGCCTTGTGTATATGTATATAACACGACGTTGGTCGACACGAACGGCGAGAAGTTGGAGAGGAAAGGCTATCGCAAAGGACAATCACACCATTGTTACTCGAGCGAGGAGCGAGTGTACCTATATAATTAACGATACGATCTTGAAGGATTATTCATTTACAACTGAACGTGGAAGAATATATTCAAACATACAACAAGTGAGACTCTCAATAATAATTATTGACTGCAGTTTAATGGTACTTTTGCCGGATGTAGAGAAACACTTCTTGATGAAGCTTGATGTCTTGATGCTAATTTTATTGATGTCTTTAAATTGTACACGAGTTTAGACTTTTGTGAGAATACAATCTTCAGTAAATATCCAAAGTTTCATTGGCAACGTCGGTCACACTTCGTCTGTATTTTACTATGGGCTTCGCATTTCAAACTTGGAGTGGTTGTTTATGGTAGCCATATATGAGTGCCAAAGAGAACCCCTTCGCCATGTATTAACGAAGTAAAACGAATACATTCACATACGAATGATCAATTGGTTAGTTTCCAGGTAGAAGACTTGTAGATTTGCAAGCTTGTCGATACACAACTCATTCTTGAGTAGCCATGAATCCATTGTTCCTGTGATTAATAAGCCATTCGTAATACGAAGACAGTCTCGCTACTAAAAGTGTACGCGACAAGATAACTTGCTAACTTTTATGGTTGGTATTAAGCTTTCCACTGGCTCCAATCTTTTAGAGAAAAATAGTTAAGTAACTGCATACAATAATTTAAAATATAATGACAACCATAATTTGATTATAATGATACAGCTCATAGATAACCTGAAAAACAATCATTATTAATAAAGTCTACTAAATCATATAATATAATAAAAGAATTTAGTAATTGGAATATTTATGATGACAGTAAAAAAAAATGGAATGACGTACATACATACCTTGAATTCTATGTTGACACGTTTATTCATATACATCTCCAAAAGCCGTGGGCAACATAAAAAAGTACGATAAAATTAAAGATATAAAACGTATAAGACACAAATTAAGAAATAAATTAAGTCGATAGTATAAAATTGTTCACGAACATTCATTATGGATAATAAATCTTTAAATTACTGTTTTATACTTTGTATTACATTTTTACAATATTACTATACGTTACAGTTTGTTCTAACCAATTTAATGCATATTTATTATACGAAATCAAATATAAAATCTCAAAGTTTACATCTGATATTCTTATTGTACTTATAACACTTGGAATTAACGTAATTTTCAAAGTAAAAAGGTATAATTTTTCTTCTACCAACACTAATCATAAAATTTTACTTACACATGCAACCATATATGTCTAATAAACGTTTATAAATACCTGGAAATGTAACCGCCACTAGAGTTGAGCTTTTTACCATGTGTCGTTTAATTACCTCACATAAATAGTATTCTTTTTTACCATGATCCGTGTCGTAGAGTCTAGATTATTCCCGCCTAATTCTCCCTTTTGCGTCATTGTTCTGATTATGGCGAGTTTGAGAAGTTATTTGAATCACTAGAGCACCCACGCGAAGCATAATTAGGTTGCGTGCAAATCGTCGAGCGGTTGTAGTATCTCGATCTTATTATCTCGTAATTAATAGTCTATTAGTGAAGTTCGTATTGTACCATTTTTTACTGCAACCTGTGCTGGTTATTGTAAAGCAACGTGAGATGGTTTATTTTTGTTTACCACACTATAATTTAGCTAATAACCAAACAATGAGATTACTTAACCTATTTTTTGTTAGCTAACCTTTCTGTTACAGAAATAATATTCATCACCTTTGGAATACATTTATAACAATGAAGTAAATTAGAGATGCAACGCAAACTATAAGTCATAACAATTTACTGTTGACATCGTGTGCATCGTGCCAACGTATTCGATGTTGTGAGTTGCATACGCTATCTTAAATGTGCATGCTCGGGACAGGAAGAAAAAGATATTGTAAGGACAGAGTGAGAGAGGACGAGGACGAGTTCGAAGGCGGAAAAGGAGTACACGAGTGTCACACGTCGATTAATTAGGCAAATGTCGACATGTAAGTTTAAACTTTAAAGGAATAAAGTTTTATCAAGAATCACTTTCATGTACAAGTATCATCATCATCATGTGGAATGATAAAGTGATGGCACTTATTGATAAAAATGAAGGATATAACTTTTCTCAATATATTTTCAACATGAGAATTATTTCAAAGCAGCCTAAAGGAAAGTAAAATTGGACTGATTGTTGAATCTTTATCTTCTCTCACCTCCTTTACTCGCGTACTTGATTTGGCCTCGCGGCAAAAGCGTCGATTATCTGAGGCCAAGAGAGAACCGGTAATTGGCAGGAGGTCTTACTTTCCCCTAACTATGGTAACGAATGGGATCAGTTATAGAAACGTGAATTGGCATTTGAATCTCGTTATCGCTCTTATATGCTTGGCAGTGGCTCTCAGAGCACACCCTCATATAGTACAGCTATTATACACATTCTAACTTTATAATTGATGGTATTTATTCAACTTCTAAGTACTTCAAGTTCATATAATTTTAATATATTACCATAAATAGTAATTTCTCACGTTTATATATGACTATTATAATTCCATATTTCTTTTTGTCGCTCATGGGTGATGAATCTTTCAAATTATCCGCTTTTCTCATCTCTTTCAGCCCATAATTTCTTTTATTTCTGTCCAAACGAAAGGACAACAAAAAATGTTTTACGAATCGCAATAAAACTCAGTATCTTGTGTCGGCAAACACGTGTCTTCAGAGTTTCGCGAAATGCGAATAATGTAGTTGGGCGCGCGATGATATCTCGAACGCCGATCTTTCCTTCGAGTTCTTCTCACTCGTTTCGTACATAAATGTTATATATGTATTCTCAAACGGAATCTTATGGCCGTTGCTCCATCATTTTACCAAGATAATCGATCTTTTTGATTGATTAATCAATTAATTTCACATCTCTAAGCATCACAATGATGTTATCGGACTATTTATAATGTTACTGACGTGTTTTTAGATTTATCAATAATATATATTAGCTAAAAAATTGATTACAAAGTATAAATATGTCCAGTTTCAGGGAATGGTGAAATTCTTCGAATTCGTATGCTGGTTAAAGCTTTCACTGGTTCTTGGATCAAAGTTAGTGTTGAACGAGCCTATTACCAGAAGCACCTTGATAACTTGGCGGATCTGACTAAGGTATACACGTTTGATTGTTAATTACGTAGAGACTGTGGAGCTAATGAGTCTCAAGAATTAATTGAGACGGTCGGTCAAGTTGATTTTATTATTTTTTAATCTTCTTTTATTTTTAACAGGGTTTGTATGGTGCCACAAATTTGTCGCCAAAGTCTATGTTGAGCTCACGATTGGTTAAAAAAAAAGCTGAAAGAACTAAGAGGTCAACCTGACACGTTTTCATAGGTGTGGGGACTGGTCCCAATCAAATTCCCATGATTCCGAATTAGCAGATGCTTTCGCCAGATCGAATGGACGCCCCGTGGCGACCCTCGGTGAGAGAACCCATGGAATGTGCGCTCCAAGCCTTAAAATATTCACGACAACTATATTAGCTGGTTCAGATAGGATCGGCATCATACTGCGTCTCTCGTCTGTCTTTCAGTCAAGATCACCACCTTTTGCCAACATTTTTATTTCATATAGTTTCAGTGCAACACACTCCATCAAGTTTTTACAAATCGTTTAAACTCAGAGGAAAACTTTAGTTTCAGAGTATTTATCTTCATGGGTTAGCTCATTATAAAAAGAATAGATTCTCAATTCTGAGAAGTATTCTATAATTTAATCAACCTTTGGCATCCCGCTGAGTTGAGAGGTGTGATCAAGCTCGCTCAGCGTGACGTTTTCGAAATGCATACAACTTTTTCTGAGAGATGGTATCACCCTTTAGAGATGCACTTGTCTCTGAGAATTCTCTCTAATGACAAAAAAATATTCAGATAAACAATGAAATGAATCCTGGTGTAATTATATACTCTTGTTATCTCAAATTGATTTATATTAGTTGACATCGAGACATCAAGATTTCTTCTAAACACGGATGTTTAGTCAAGTATGTATACCTATGTATTGAAAAAGTATTTTTAATCACAAAATTAACATATCAAATCTGTATTGTGTGTGTGCATGAAGACGGGAGCGTTTGATACGTTCAGGGTGTACATAATAAATAAGCCCGAGTATATTATCAGATCCTGTAGTGGACCCCCTGTGGGTTCGGCTAGTCATTATAGTCTCTATATAAGCTGATTAGGCGCTCGAATTTTTTCGCTTCGCCATGATCTCCTCATCTTTCTCTCCTCTCTATTTATGTATAATATTTATTTTTATTGCCTCTCTATTAATATTTTTTCTATTTGTCATTTTTTTCCAAATAAATTCCTTCTGATCAAAAGATTTGGATACTTTGACATTATAGTTTTATTCTTTTTCTTATTTTATTATCTTTTAAATCTCATAATAACCATAGAATCATCATCTGATCATCACTGATTAAATTTTCTATTTCTTTAATTAATATTTATTAGTATTAATTCATAATCATTTTTCCAGGATCTGAAGTTTAAATGAATATTGAAACCTTTACAAATAGGATTAACAATTATGACTTGACGAGTGGGTGGGCAAGTGATAATCTGCAGGTGACTATGACAATTGCTAAAGAAGATTGCAAACCGCACCCCCTTTTAGTTGATGCCCTCTCTCCATTAATTTTTGGTCTAGAGACGCGTGCGTGGGGTCCAATGCAAACAGCTTATCCATAAAGCCGAAAGTTTGTAAACGTGTATAGGGACCAGTACTGGTCAAGCAAATTTAAAAAATTATCCAGTTAACTTTGTCCGAAGAAAAGCTCTCAAATACGCTATAAGAATAAATAGCTGAAGGGCGTTAACGGTATTAAGAGGAAGATTGAAGAAAAAATGACAGCAGAACATGACGAGGATACGTTTTCTTTGACCTGCAACGTGGTCCAGAGTATCCCAAGTGAGTAAATTCTCTAGTTAATTTGAATGCCTTCTTAATACTTTAGGATGCAAGTTATTCCAAACTTTCAAATCCTCATAATCTATTATATCAATAGAACCATTTATAAATATAGAAAATATGTCATTTTCTTTCTTTGTTATTTACAATCCATTTATTTCTATACTTGTGTAAACTATCAGTTAAATTTTTTTTGTTGATTTTTTTCGTTAAACTCAATCATTGCTTTAAGCGAATATATCATTGATAGACGTATAAAAATACTCGCGTTAGTATAATATTAATGTCTCGCGGGGATCTTTTACAACCTCATGCCCATCAGTCGCACGCACTAACGCTCCCTAACCATGTTAAATGATATACCCCTTTACGCTTGGTGCAGAGTTTCTCAACTAGTTTCTCACGTTTTACTTTATTCGATGATTTCAGGGAGTGAACGAAGATGATGAAGATTGCTAGTGATCCTTGGGAGCAAATATATCACGAGAAGCTTATAAGATCAGGTTGGAGTATGGATACCAGTTTATTATCATCAAAGAGTTGATTGAGATCGGTGTGAATATTTGTTGGGTTATTTTCGGCCACATGAGCACCGTTAAACCCAGGAGGGAACCTCGCCGCCAGGGCTCCATGAATCACACCCTCGTTAACTTACACACTCGTCTGTAGCATTATAGTATGCTAAAACGTGTGTGCACAATTTGCAGTGGAACTGTTGTATATACACTGCGTAAAGGCAACCTCTTTTCAATAGCTCCTCCTACCAACCCACGTTCAGATGTGTACCTTTTTATATTCTTCAAGTTTACTCATTTCATGAAGTTTAATCGTTATTGTTATCTTTGCATTATTGTGGCTTTACAATATATGTATCATATAATTTTAAATTTAATATTAATGGAGGCGGAAGAGAAAATATACAACTGTAATGGAAAGTAAGGCGTATTCAAATGTGTATTATATAAAAAAGTTCTAATGAAGAGCACGTGGTGTATTCGCCCAAAGCAGGTTATTATTTTCACGAAAGGTATTCTTCAAGATTACATTCGCGTCTTCATTTAACTTGGTATGTATATGTGGGTACAATGAGCATAACGTATGTGGTGCTTATTTTTATTTGTTTTTCAGATTTATACAGTGTATATAGAAGAGAAGTAGACCCGTCCGCCCTTCAGTTTGCCGCGGGGATCTTTCGACGCGGGCGAATGATGCACACATAGCTATACACTATAAGAACGAATACGAGAAGAGGGTTGGCGAGGGCGTGGTACACTGGTCAGTGTTTTAAATCACCTTTATACTAAAAGTGAATGCCACCTTGTATCTTTCTCTCTCTTTATACTGTTTGTTAGAAGAAAAAGTATGATAATAATTTGCTTAATATATATTAAAATAATAAATGGCATTGCTGACTGGATCGTTATAGAGCTAAAAGTAATTTTTCGTTGTTTTTTAGGTGAGAAAGAAGATGAGGTATATGATGCCGCGGATTAGATTACAGAGGATCAAGTGCATCTTGTTGAAGGCACTCGACTTCATCTGGAGTTGGCTGCAATGTTGGTATAACAAAACACTGGCGGTGATGAGCATCATTATCCCCACTTGAAGCCGCGGGGACCGCTGTCGGCCATCTTGGTTCCACCTGACCGCGTCAAAAGTGCTGACCACTGGTGGCACAGCGTTCCTCCTTCCTTCTGCACACATCCCCCATCGCGTGTCGATCGCGACGCATTAACGCTTAAATTAATTAATGAACTCATTACCACCTCATGAGTCGACGGCACGTCGTATGTAAAGGTATATTGGAATGACGAAGAATTTGACGCTTATGCTCTGAGGGCATATGTATACTAAGTGCGAAGTATGGTAATGCATTTTGAAAGCATGTAGTAGCACGTCAAGTTTGTTTTAGCCCATCGCCACTTCCGCCATTATCGTTATTTCCTCTCTTCTTATTCTTCATTCTCTTCATCGTTCTATATATGTTGAATCTTCATCGTTTTCCTTCAGGCTATTTCCCATCTTCTCTCCATTCTCTAGCTCTCATACTGCCATTCAAGTATCCTTTGGGCGATTTTACTCGCGCCTCTTTTCTCTCTTCCTCTTACGCTGCTTCATTTGTTTATCGCTTCACTTTATTACCCGCAATTTGGCGCTCGCTCGCGCCAAGGTAATTTCATATTGGTTTTCTCCTTCCCCTACATACTTCTCCTACCTTTTCGTCGTATAATAATACCCTCCATTTCTTCACTCGCTTGTTAGACTCTTGTATGTATACCCAAACAACTCCGCAATGTGCCTCGACAACTTTTGACCGTCATAATTATTTCAACGATAAATAACTATATGTTTTTTTTTTTTTTGTTCTTTTTAGCGTTCTTTTAACGAGCCTACAGACACATTTTTTATATTTTTGTCTCTGCTTTTTAGTTTCCTGTTGTAAATTTACCCTACGACATGTCGATGACATTTATCAGGATAAGAAGTATACAAACTATGGCAAGAGAATCGCGTGAGGATATGACTATAATGGTCAAGTGGTGGGAAAACAAAGGTGCAACCAAGAAATGATGCACGAGGTGTGTTTAAGCGCTTGTGATGGGTGACGTGCCGCACAGCACCAACTCCTGCACGACGGGAGTCATTTAGAGGCTCATCGTTTTCTCTCACTTATGAGAATCGCACGTGGCTTCGTCTCATCTTGCTTTGGCCGTCTAACAAGACCAGGATAGAGCCGTCAGAGCTGCAGGAGGGCCACTGTACTCTATAGAGACCCCCTGCTGACCGTCATCTTACTTTTATATTAACGAAAAGAACGCCAAGAGTTAACTGAACGATCATCTTCAGGTCCAGTGATTTGTTCAGCTGAATTCATTAAGCACCGGCCACTGGTATATAATATTTAAAGTTGAAAATATCTTCATTTATTAAGATATGTCTCGTATATGTCTCACAAAAAGTCTCCTAAATAAAAAATATGATAATGTTATGTTAAACGCTCAAGGGAAAACGTTTAATGTAATGCCAGGGTCAATTATATCGATACTCAAGCATTGATAGTGTCGCGTTGGTCGGGAATAAGAGAATATAAGACCGTTATATTCTATCGTTTGAGAGTGTGGGCGTCTACGAGGCGTCGCTTTAACGTCCCGCATAAATTCTCGACGGACATACGAGGAGAACGCGTTGTGATAATACGTGGGGGAGAGAGCCTGCAATCGAACCGGAGGGAGGAAGGACTCGTCTCCAATTTCTCTGCTATAAACGTCAAGCCAATAAGAATTGTTTGGAGTTAAAAGTCAACACGCGTATGTTAGAATATTTATTTAAATGATTATTAGGATACTTTGTACATTTGTATATGAATGACGTGATGATTTAAATTTAAAATCTGTCAAATTAAGGTTGGAAATCCATCGAGATTTTATTTTACTTCTTCAATAGAGTTTAAATTTTATAGAATATTAAATTAAATAGCTGGATAATTGGAATGTGAGTCAAATTTAATCTTCAGAATAAGTATATAAATGTGTGTGGATAATGCTGTAATGAGTTGCGGGTGTATGTATAGTTAATCGTACAACGGGATAAATAAATAATCAGATTCATTGTAGGCGCCAATGCATGGCGAGAAACGACCAGAAAAGCATTTATCTTGTCTGACATTGTGTTTATTAAAAATAATGACTCGAAAGAGTTATCTGAGTTCTTTTCGTAGTCTTTCTTCCCTTGAGGCTGCGAATACGATTGACAACGGCCGTGAAACACGTTCCATGCTCACCTAAAACTCACATCTCAATTGTACACCAGGAGAAAAAGTAAATCTCTCGCATAAATCAGGTGAGCCTACGGCTTGAGTTAAATTATTAAAGTTACCTAAAATAAACGGTCATTTGTTCACCAGACACGTTCTTCTTGGGTTTTAGAAGACTCAAGACTATGTATTTGCATCATCCTCAAGAGGGCAGCAATAGTCCTTACAAGATCTCCCCAAGGATATGTGACAACCAAGACTTAAGAAGCTGAAAACAACACGAGAAAGAGAGATTGAGCATTTAGTCTAGGCTTCTATCATCTTTCTTTTCCTAACATCCAGTAAAGATTCCTAGAAACATATCTCGTTGGGGACATCTGGATGTTGAACAGCAGAAAGAGTCGTCTCACTTCTTCTTCATATCCTTCGAGTCACAGGATCATATCTCTTTCTTTTCTTCTCATCTCATCTTCATATTTCGTTTCTTGCTTTTACTCACAATTTTTTTTCTTCAGTCTTTATAAGCATGAAATTACTTAAGCAGCTAAAGTAGCATGTATATCTTTGTACAACTAATTATACACTCGTTAAACTCTGAACATTGGCTAGTGATTATCATAAACTGAAGAATTTCTTGATTAGTTGTTTTTTCTGTGTAAAAACAGATCATATTTACTGGATAATTAGAAGCCTATTTATTACAACGTATAAAGATATATCGTACTTATGTAAGAGAGATGTGTAGAGAAGAGAAACATAACAAGAGAGATGGACACGACAACAAATGGTCTTGTCCGTACTAGATCTTTATCTTGGGAGTGGTATATTTATGCGAAGCTTCACTGGTAATCTACCTACTAAGAATGCTCAGGTTCTTATTTTCTTTATTTCTTTATTTTCTTTTCTTCTTACTTTTTAATACGAGAATTTTTCGGCTTTCCTAAGATTTATTACCCATTTAATGTTGATTAAATTAATTCACTGAATCATCATCAATTTATAATAGTTTCTAAATGTCTACCCAAAGAACAACTAATGTGAGAATGCGAGGTAACTGTTTCTCTTTCACCACACAAGACATCTCACTCACAATCTAACTCAGATATTTATATATATATATATATATTTGTGGTAGGGATAGATGAAGAAGAGCAGAGAAATAAAATGAAGAAGAAAAAAATTACAAGAAGTAAGCGGAAAAAAGTTAAGGCGAGGATTGCAAGTGGTATAATCGTGATAAGCAGGTGATAGATGCCTCTTTAGAACCCCCACTGTTGGACCACTCCACTGACAATGGCTATTTGTTATACTCCAGCATCTCTCCTCATCTTTAGTCAGTGCATTTTTATGCACCTCCGAATTCTGCATGGTAATATACAATACATATGGCAGTATGCATACATAAAAAAATACAATGTGGACCTGATGGCTTCAGTCTAATTCAAATCGACAGATAATCACAACTTAATTTATCTCCCGTTGAGTAGCATAAGAACTGGAAATATATCCCATCATTTTTGTATTCAACGTGCCTTTTTTGCTACTGTTTTTTATTCAATGCAAATGGCTTATTATGTATATACGTATAATATATTTCAAAAGATATATTTAATATGATGCTGATGAATGACACGGAATTTGATGTTTCAATGGTCCAACCTCTTGATGGGATCCTGACTGATGAAAGAGGTAATAAGATAAGGAGAAGGAGAAACAAATAAGGAAATAAGGGAGATGTTAGAAATATGATTAATGACGATTGGCGCTTGGACCCGTTAATGATGCCGTGACTTAACCATTAAGAAACTAACCAGACCCTTGGAGTTTGGGAGTAGAGTTGTTCCCAAGTAGATTATAAGTCGAGTGATTTGACCCACAGGCATCACCTGCAGGTTCATCAAGCCTCTGTTTTACCTTCTTCCTAGATTTACTTCATGCGTGTTCACGTCTTTGTATACTGACGCTATTAAGACTGATAATCTCTTCCGCCTACTTTAAGACATCTCCAACTTGTTATGCAGAAATCCGCGGGAAAATACAACTGTTAAACCAAGTAATAAGTTATGGAAATAGTAGTTGAAGTACGATTGTGAGGCACATGTGTGTTAAACACACATTTTAGGTACTGTAACCGCAATGCGCGGCTAACTATAGTTTAGTGCAAGTTAAACCTGATGATTATGTTGTCAGGCACGGTGGGTGGAGAGAAAAGTGATCGCTCACCGGGCGAGACGCACAAGTGTGAGGGTGTGCTGTAAGTAGAAGAGGTGAGTTGAGGAAGAAAAGAGCGGAATGAAAGCAATGCAAGTACTAAAGTGCAAGCGAGTGGGATATATAATATTACATTTGTATTACACACATCGGTAGATTACTTACACCAACATAAATTCCACAACTGGAGATCCATGGAGCTCCTCCTCTTTCCCCTCAACAGTATACGCCTTGAGTGTACGCCTCGTTCGCGGTCGAGTGCAAGCGAGCCGATTCATCAACATTATCACTGACGGACATGGTTAGCAAGGGGATGCCCTCGAGCCCCATGTGCCTCGACCTGTCCATCAAGCCTTATATTTATTCCTTGTATTTATACAAATGAATGGAAAAAGAAAGTAAGAATTCAATTTGTTGCTTTATACTTATATTCAATTCGTTACGATAAATTTATTGTCGGAATGAAATTATTATTTTTTTTCTAAGTAGTTTGTTGATGAAAATCGATGATAAGATTGAGAATTAAATTGATGACATGAATTGGGGAAGGTAATGAGTCAATTTAAGTTTGTTACATTTTTTAAAAATGAATAATTAAGATCATTTTTGAAGAT